CGAGCGTTACACTGAACGGAACGCTGCATTCGAGTGCTAGAACATTCCAGAAGCTATTCTGTAAACCTGTACCTGTTGCCACGGACTAGTTAAAGGTGAAATTACATCATTTTGGTGGGACTATTAAGATTTCAAATACAGCCCAGTTTTCAAGGTGGCAACAATTCAAACCTAGACTTGTATTGTGCCGAGACAGGACTATCGCGTATGTTCCTGCTCCTTTCTCTCAATGTCTTCCATGAAGATCTGCAGGAATAGTACGGTATCATGCTCTCCATCCACGCCTGGGATAGCAGAGGAGAGGTCCTAGTTGAAGCCTGTAGTTGGGCAGTAACAGATTTAATTAACACTGCCTTTTATGGAGGTGACTGCATAAGTAAGTGTTGCTGTTATACTTTAATCGTGAAATTCTTTTACGGGTACCAGGACAAGAGGATGCTTTGGATCGCTTCCGATTTATTTTTTAATCTTACTATGATTTTTCACCTAGTGTCCTCTGAATGAGAAGTCTACGGTTACAAAAAGTTAGAAAGGGTAGCTGATTGCAGAAGCTTGTATCCAGCATCTAACTTTCACTTTTGCTCAACAGGGCAAGGACAAAAGTTAAGATATTGCTCTATAAGTAAAACAAGAGACACACACACACAAAAAAAAGCCACCAAACACTGCTACAGATTTATGACCCTCCCTGCACACTTCCCTGCAAGATTACAAACCAAAACACACCAGCACCACCTTCACACAACCAAACCAAAATGGGACACTGACTATAGACAGGAAAAAAAAGCTTGGCTAGCCAATTGTCACTGGTCAAACAGAATGAAACACAAAAATAACAAAAAATAATATCACAGCTAGTATATCAGAGTTTGTAAGATTGCCAGTGATAAGTGTAATTCGCTGTATCAGTAAACCAGGCAATAAGGACCACATCAAAACAGCCTGTTATTAGTAGGAAGCTTTCAACTATTTCCACTGTTTTAGGTACTTTTTTTTTTTCAGAAAAAAGAAAAAAAAAGAAAGAGAGAGAAAAAAAGGTATCATCAGTCTCATGGCAATACTACACAGACATTTCAACCTTTCAGCAAAGCTCCGTGATGCACATTTACAAGAACATTTTGAACTGAAATGTGATGTGCCCAAGAAACACATTACCATGGGATTCTGCTCACAAGATGCATTGAGCCTGCAGCTGTAGCAGGACCATGAGGAACAGATTAAGATTACAGCCCGTACATTTGATCTGATGGGCCAATAGCCCTTCCCACGCAGGGGAGAAGAGCAGGGTCTGTAATCTCACCAGCGGCCAAATAACTCCTGAGGAAAAGACTGTGTTACTCAAACACTTATCACATCAGGTTCAAAATGAGCAGAAAACATCCCCCCGCGTTGAGAGCCAGTCAGCTGTGTGCTGTCACCAGAGAGGATCTGTCATTCTGCCAAGCGTCGGGGTTGCTACCTGCCCTCCTTCATCCCCACAGCGGGCTAGGCTGGTCTGGAAACGCCACCAAGGTTTATTGCCCAACCCCATGAGAAGCGCCGCCTGCTCCTCAGGGCAGCGACCGGGGCAGCTCACGCCGAGCGGCAGGGCCCCGGCAGCGGGGCCAGGCACAGGCCGGGCGGCGCAAAGCGAACAGGCCGGGCCTGGCCCTGCTCCCCCCTCCAGGCCTGGGAAGCTGCACCAGCGGACT